GGGGGGGGGGAATCCATGTGATTTAATATGGTTCAAGACTATTATCATGCGGTACTCTCCAACCTCATCTCTCACCCACTCCCAACTTTCTTAGTAACCACCTTTAAAATGGAACACATTTCAGGTCTTGTTATGCTCTAGAATTCAATCCCTGATCAGTCCCAGTCTTGGTTAACCCCTTGTACTGGGTTGAAGAGTATCCTTTAAAAATTCATGTCCATCGGTATATGTGAATGTGGCTCTAAGGATGACTGGCATCCTTATGAACAGGAGGGCAATTCAGACAGACAGGGAGAACACAATGTGACCACCTAGGCAAAGAGTGGAGTGATGCATCTACAAACCAAAGGATACCAAAGAAGCTGGGAGAGAGGCTTGCCAGCACCTTGATTTCAGACTGCTAGCCTCCAGAATTGTGAGAAAATACATTTCTGTTGTATTAACCCTCCCAATTTATAGGAATTTGTTATGGCAGCCCTAGAAAACTAACACACCTCCCTTAGCCTCCATAGTAAGCACCTTGTACTTAACCTAGGGGCTTATCCATCCGTCTGTCTACATCAGAATTGGACTCTTTATCACACTGCTGTATCTAAAATAGGCCTTAGCAACAATTACAAACTTGGGAAAACCAATATGGCAATGGAGAACCATCCCACTGGCACACATATGTACGCACAGTAATTAACACCAAACACTCTTTCGATTCTTTATGAACATTTGCCCATTTAAACATCCAGACATCTTCAAAGGTAGCTATTAAACCTGATTTCAAGATGCAACAACTGAGCTTCTTCTGTAAGAGGAAAGGTCACTTGCCCAGTCAGACAGCAAGAACAAGGGGAGTCAGGATTCAAACCCCGCCCCACTCTTAAGCCAGTGCCCATTACACCACACCATGCATTTCTCAGGTCAGCATACTGAGTGGAAAATGATTCTTTAAAACCCTTTCATACCAACATGAGGGCAGAACATCCAGAAATGTTTTTAATTTAAAATAACCTTTATACCAACTCTGAAAGTCCAAATTTGGTCCCCACAAAAGCATACATCCCTACAGCACTATAGGTACTTTTTCTGATGATGTTTTTTCTAAAATAAATACAAAACATCTCTATTTTTGAAAGTTAAAATGGACAACACTCATTGCTGTAAGATGGACAACGGTCAATTTCTCAGGAATCCACAGTGAGAATAACCCAACTCCTCAGCTCCTCAGGGGGCACTCAGCAAGTTCATCACCATGCTGAGCTAACCCAATTCAGCTTCCATGACCAAAGAGAACTTGCCATCACCCAATCTCAGCAGGTCTTTTGCCTACAGGGGCAGTCTCCAGAAGAGCCCTTGGCCCACAGAATCTGTACCCATCACCTCACCACTAAATCACCCTGACCGGTCCAGTCCTTCATGTTAGTGCTAAGCAGCAGTTAAGTTAAACACCACGTGTATCTTTAACATGCAAATCAATAATACTTTAATATTTTAATACCCAAAAGTGAGTTCGATTGTAATGAATGAAAGTCTCATGTTCCAGAGAATGTGGGCACATAACCTTTCCTTCACTGAACAAAAAGTCAGCATCTGTCAAGGAGAGTAAGCACAGTTCAGATTCGTGTCAGTTCCGCATCCTACTCTCAGAGACTCAGAAACCAGGGTCCCAGAGGGAAACAGCTGTGAGGGGTCAGAGGAGTACATCAGAAGAGGCACAAAGGAAGGATCTGGAGAAGTGAATCTCAGCTAAACAATGTACCCCCTCAATGTGCTCTCTTCGCATACTGGGAAGATTTGTATATGTGAATGAGGTAGCAGACACTCTCAAGGGGGCAGTAGAGATTTATGGAAGTCAAATGGATAGGCTCTTAATAGATCTAGCCCAAGGAGACAAATAATGACCTTCTTGCATTCCAGTGCAAGCAATTGGCTGTGACTGTCCAGACACTGTTTAAGAAGCATTCTGAGGCTTAATATAGACTCAGTGGGAAAAGCTCTCTCTGGGAGAGTCCCTCCTGCTGTGGAAGGAAGGAGGCACGGCCACCCAAGTACCACAGATTTCCCACCACTGATCCTTGCTCAGTGGACTGGGCCCTTCAGAGGCTGTAGTTATTACAAGGGGCACACAAATCCATACATGCTTTCGTGAATTTTTGGTAAAATGAACAAACAATGAATCTTTCCCATGTGTATACCATAATTTTTGGATGGATATATGGGTTGTTTGATTTTAAAAACTAATTATAGAGTTACTGAGGGTCTCATTTTCTAAAGGTAGGGAACCATGGATCTAGTTGCCACACCAATGTCTTTTAGCTACAGAAAAACCTACACAACTGAAAAATAACTATTTCCCAAAAGGATGAAGAACTTACCAAAGAAAACGGACACAAGTTTTTTTGAATATCCATAAGAGAAAAACAAAGCCAGGGGAAATTAAGGATTAAAAAAAATGAGAGTGAAGATCAGTGGTAAAGTTAAAACCCTGAAATACACTGTAAGGCAGAGGTGACCCTTAAACTCAGTAACAGACGACACCAAGTTGGGCCCAATCCGTAGAAAGTAACTAAAGTTCTATTATATAGGACAAAGCCCTGTCTCTAGTAGCAGAGGGAAGCATATGAGCAAAGGTCCTCTTATTAAACAAACATTAATTCAACAGTAAGTCGGGATAAAATCCTAGCACACAGAAACAAAGCTGGGTCTGATGAAAGACTTGCCTGTGTTTAATTAAGCAAGAAAGAAACTAGCATGATTAGGTCATGCTTTTATGGGGGGAAAAAGATGAAGATGATTTGAAATCAGAAATATTTGTTCAGCTGGGCAACTTGAAGCAGTGTTCAACAATCCTGGAATATTGGACGTGCACAGAACATGCTCCGAGTTGACGGGCATCCGATTTGTTGAGAAAGGAGAGCATGGAAGTAATGATGGGTGTAAACTCAGGCTTGAGTTTAATCCATCCTAATGAGGCCAGCGTCTTGGGGCACAGTCCCCTCAATACAGTACTAAGTGTTTCCTCACAGGCCCTTATGATCCAGGACCCTTCCTGCCGTACTACAGGAATTATCTTCTATCACTACGAGTCTCACAGTACGTGGAACATCGCTGGAAGTCTTCTGAAATTAAGGTTACAAAAGCCACTGCTTCCCTGTGGGTTTGCGTGGAGAAAGTGCAGTGGATTTTAAGTATATGAAGCTAAAGAAAAATCCAAAGCAATTTGAGTTACGCCGGTTAAAAACTACATCGCAAATTTCTATCACAGAATAAAAAAGCATCCCGGATAGTGAAGGCAGTTAGGTTCATTTCCATCACTCGACAATGCAATAGTCTTAGAAAAAGTAATTATTTATAAACAACAAAGGAGGTGTTGGGAATGAGCATTTGGCGAGGGAGAGGAGGAGTCAAATCTTCCAAGAGGAAGAATTTTTCAGAAACATACCTTCATTTTGGGTGACTTTGGAAAGAGGCAGGGTGAGACAGAGACCACACGGTGACCAGGTAAGTTCGCAGTGGAGATTAAGCTTTTAAAACTTCTTATAGCAGACTGACAGGAATTTTACAACTGCGAAATATAATAAATTAGGGCTTGACTTTTTGACTGACTTTAAATTTTTATTTTTCTAATAATTTCTGTATTTAATACAAAACCAGTGATTGGAAAATTTTTAAATGGGTCTTTCCACACAGCTGGGGAAGGGATGCCCTAGAGAAGTAATTCTCAGTGGAGAAAACTTCACCGCTCAGGGAGTGGTTTTAGAGATCTGCGGGTCCATTGGGGTGGGAGAAGGGGGCTTCACTGACACCTGACAGGCAGGGACCAGGTAAGTCGCACATCCTGAGGCGTGCAGGACAGTCTCACACAATAAAGAGATGCCCCGTGTCCTGCACCACTCTCAAAAGCTCTTGACATTCACATACGCATAAAGCCCATTTACCTGAGCCTATAACCTAACAAAGTATTTATCGTTCAGCTTTTTTTTGTTTGTTTTGTGTGTTTTTTAAATATATTTTTATTGATTTCAGAGAGAGGAAGGGAGAGAGAGATAGAAACATCAGTGATGAGAGTCATTGATCGGCTGTCTCCTGCACGCCCCCAACTGGGGATCCAGCCCGCAACCCGGGCATGTGCCCTGACCGGGAATCAAAGCCCAGTCTCCTGGACCCTAGGTCCACGCTCAACCACTGAGCCACGCCAGCTGGGCTATTGTTCATTTTTAATTTAATTGTTCGGTTGGGAAGATGTATGCTATCTTCCAAAACTGCAACTAGCATGTAAAATCAAGACACAATTGTAGCCCTGACAGGGAAGCTCAGTTGGTTAGAGCGTCATCCGAATACGCCAAGGTTGTGGGTTTGATTCCCAGTCAGGGCACATACAAGAATCAACCAATGAATACATAAATAAGTGGAACAACAAATTCCTCCCTCTCTCACTCTCTCTCAAATTAATAAATAAAAATTAAAAGAAAAAATAGATACAATTGTATTTTGGTCTGAATCAACCGTATGCACACCTGTATTTTAGCATCAATATTGGGTCACTGAGGGTTACTCTATACATGGTACGAGCACTTGATTATTTCATTATGCCCCAAGCTCTGGTCATGACCAAGTACTTGTGTTTTGAAGTATTTTACACAAAATATTTCCCTTTCATTTCTTCTTTCTGGTATGACTGAATTTTAAATTACATATGTAAGTAGGCTACATTTTCTGTGAATTTCACTTCAGGATTGTAACTGAAACATTAGAAAGTATTTGTTTAAAAGAGGGTGCAGGTCTGAGGGTTGAAAAAGCCAAGTCTATTGAAATATCTGTGTTCACTATCGGTCAAACATAGGAAGAAATTACAGTATATCTAAATAAAAACATACTGATGAGCTAGGTGTTCATCAATAGACTTGCAGGAGATATTAGCGGTCATTCTTATATTTACATGTGAGATGAAGGAACTGCATAGTTTACACACATTGGCGGCTAAGAAAGGGGGCTTTAAGTCCAGTAGCCCCAAAGTGGGGACAGCACTATTTCCTTCCTGTACCTAGGGGCTGACAGTCCATCCCACGGTCAGGGCTCCCCACCTATATGCTATTAAAACTGATGTAAAACTTAAAGGCAAGGTAGTAAAGTAAAAGGGGAAATGGGAGCTAGGAATGGGACAGCAAGCACGAAAACAGGGCAAATGCGCAAACATAGGCCTCACTTGAAAACAAAAAGGCCTGTAAATCAGTTCATTACCATCAACCCGACGGAGCTAATTAAACAATCTGAATCCTGTTTAGGTACATGGAGGAGGGGTGACAGAGAACGTCAGCCCGAGAAGGACCCTAGCAGGACGAACACAGAGATCTCTATCCGGGGTTGGCCTGTTCTGAAGCGCATCACACTGCGCTCTCGGTTCGACCGATGCTCACTGAACGCGTCCTTTTGTCTCCCAGACAAGGGCCAATTGATAGCTGAGGAACCCTGCGAAGACGTCAGTGCATGTGTGCTACACATACATCTAGGAAAAAACGCAGAAAATCACAGCCCTTCTCACCCCCACGGGGGAAGAAACTCTAAACAGCAAGGTTATGTTTCGGATAAGACACAGCAGGCCACTGAGCAATGCACACACACAAAGGGGGAACACGGTCCGAGCGCTGAGGTAACCCTGCTTTCTGGCTGCTGATGCTAACATTAGAAATAGAATTAAGAGTGCCCTGCCACTCCCAGTCTGTCTACTGTCCTAAACCCCTGCCTGGGGACTTCTCCCTCCCCCTGGTTAACCCTGAAAATTTGATTCATTAACATGAGAGGTAGGACACAGTAGGAAAAGAGCAACAAGTGAAGGTTTTTATACACTTAAACCTGAAATGATCTGTTTAGCATTGCACACACATCTCCAGAGCTGAATCACATGCCTGCCCGGAGAGGGCAGGAAAGCTACAGGCTCCCTTCCCCATACCTTACCCTGTGCATCTCTTCCATCTAGCTGTGCCAAGCTGTACCCTTTATAACAAATTGGGAACAGTAAGTAAAGCACTTTCCTGAGCTCTGTGAGCCAGTCTAGTGAATTATCAACAGGGGGAGGAGGGCATTACTGGAGCCCCCAAACCTGCAGTCAGCAGGTAGAAATGAGTAGCCAACACATCCCATTGCACCTGGCATCTGAAGGGGGTGAGGGGCAGTTCTGTGAGATGCAACTCAACCTATGGAGTCTGACACTAAGTCCAGTACTGTCAGGACTGAGTAGAATTGTAGCTGGTGTTGGAGAATAGAAACGGCATTAGACAAAAATGCCACAAAAGATACTTGGAGGGGGGTGTTGGGTGAAAAAGGTGAAAGGATTAAGAACTACAAATTGTTAGTCACAAAATAGTCCCAGGGATGTAAAGTACAGCACAGGGAATATCGTCAATAATACTGTAATGACTATGTATGGGGCCAGGTGGGTACATGAAATATCGGGGGGCACTCTGTAAAGTACGTGATTGTCTAGCCACTATGTTCTACACTTGAAACTAATACAATACTGAATGGAGACTGTAATGAAAAATAATATTTAAAAAGTTAAATTTAATTTTAAAAAAGATACTTGGTGTCAGAAGTGTTGTAAGTAAAAATGACGCAGATCCTTCTCGATTTCTGACAAACGTCTTACTTCACACTTAAGGTACCACTTGGCACAGAAAACAGCAAGAGTTCTGAAGGCTCCTGTGAGTTTAGAACAACCAAGGAAAGGCCAGTGGATCTGGTCCCAAGAGAAGCATGATCACCCTGTGGCCCCTAAATACCATTTCCCAAGGAACCAGGCTCCTCGGAGAAAGGGCTGATTTCAGTCCCTGGAACAGAACATGTACAAGATAAACCTGGGATTTCTTGAACCAAAAGTCAAGGAAGCTACCAACTACTGAGGTGACATCAAAAGGCGACTAGCACTGTCCTGAGGTTAGAATCATCTGAGTACTGGGATGAACGATTCTAATAATTCTGAAACCCAAATGTGTTTAAACTCATGAGCTCCTAGTTACACAAACAAAAACGGCCTGGTCAAAACAAACTCACTGGTCATCCTTGTAGGATGCCAAGGCACCATATTTATAAAGTAGAACACAAATGGAAAGAATCAAGCATGTTTCCTGTCTCAAACTTTACCTTAGCGAGATCAAATCACGATGAGGACAAGTTCCTCTTAACAAATGCATCCCACCCAATAAATGTAGACAGTGTAGAACTAGAATATTACCATCCTGCAGGCACACAATACTGAGTGTCAGCAATGATCAATGGCATTTCACATCACAGAGACAAACACTATATCATGTCCCTCCTGAAGGAAGAATACATAACCACTTACTACTTTGTCTTACAAAGTAACAAACAGAAAGTGAACCTGAGTCTAATCAAAGTCCCCCAAACGTCAGAGGAACATATTAAGGATCACACACAAATGTAATTCAGCAAACTATAAGTGTGGAACATTCTACAGAGCAAATAAACCAACTTCAACAAATACGATGCACACAAAAAAAGTTGGGGTAGTGGAAACTTATTGATTAAATGTCTTGAAAAAGATCTTGTGTGGATCCTGACTCACACATTCTTAAAAGTTGATGTAATCAAGAAAATACGAATGATTTGATTTGCTATTGGAGAGTTACTATTAATTTAACGTGTGAATTTTTAAAAGAGACTGTTATGGGTTGAATTGTGTCCCCCAAAAAGTCATGATGAAGTACCTTAGATTGTGACCATATTTGGAGATAGGGTGTTTACAGAGATAATCAAGTTAAAATTAGGTCATTCTTATGGTCCCTAATATAAATAGTGTCCTTATAAAAAGGAGAAATTTAGACATACATGTACAGAATGCCACATGCCAAGGCACTATCAGTAGAGAGTGGGGTTTTTTGTTTTTGTTTTTTAAATATATCTTTATTGATTTCAGAGAGAGGAAAGAAGAGAGAAAGAAACATCAATGATGAGAGAGTCACTGATCGAGCCCACAACCTGGACATGTGCCCTGACCGGGAATCAAACCCCAATTGCCTAGATCCCAGGTCGACACTCAACCGCTGAGCCACACCCGGCCGGGTGAGAGTGGTCTTGAATAGGTCCTTCCCTCATAGCCCTCAGAGGAACCACATGTCAACACCTTGTTATCAGACTTCAAGCCTCCAGAACTGAGAGATAAAAGGTTCCTGTTGTTTAAGCCACCCACTTTGTGGTCTTTTGTTATAGCAGTCCTAGCAAACTAATACAGAGACGTTATCTTTTAGAGATACATACTGAAGTACTTACTAAGTGAAGTAATATGTCTAGGATTTGCCTCAAAATAATCTGGAAAAGGGTGAAAGGGGTAGAGTTATAAACAAGACTGTCTGATCATTGATTGGTAATGGTTGAAACTGAATGTCCTTATATTAGCCTCTCTATTTGTGTTTATGTTTTATATTGTCATAATAGAAGGTTTAAATAAAGGGCACGGAGACCTTGATGACCATCTCAGAAGAACTATGGAAGCACAGGACAAAAGTCTAGGCATCATAGTGCAAGGGCATGGTAAACACAGGGAGGTGACAGCTTGGGAGCAGAAATACTTGCCTCCTACACCACTCATATACAACTCTGGTATCCCCTGCACACCTTTCATTTCTAATGAGGCAAAGTCCAACCCATCCCTGAGCAACGATGCATAAAGAACTCTACTGACCACAGTTCTCTAAAAGGGAGAGTTTACCAACAACTTCCCCAAATAACCTATCCAAGTCCATTGATCACTCATAACCACATATTTCCTCCAGACCTGGGGGGGATGTATTGGGTTCACTGTGAAACTTCCAGAGGTATGCTGAAAGCAAATAAATGATGATAATTACAAGAACTAGGAACTGCCTTTGGGGGTTGTTTTCTGTGTGAACCTGAGTAAGAGCAGAAACTCTACCACTTTTCAGCTGCATGACCCTGCACAAGTTACTTCACATTTCTGTACCTCAGCTGCCTCATCTGTAAAGTGGGGACATGGGACTCTTGTGGAGAT